GCTGAGGAATCGAACCCAGGGCCTCATGCATGCAAGGCAAGCACTCTACCACTGAGCCATCTTCCCAGCCCCTGAAACACTCTTTATAATGGCTTATAAAATACTTAAAGCAAGTCTGTTAAAATAAAGATATATAAGTAGGGCTGGGATGTGGCTGAGTGATAGGATGTGTCTAGTATACTCTAGGCTTTGAGTCTGAAAGAGAAAGGGAGATCAACTATTTTTTTTTTTTTTTTTTGGCTTTGGGACTTGAACTTTGGGCCTGAGCGCTGTCCCTCAGCTCTTCAGCTCAAGGCTAGCGCTCTACCACTTGAGCCACAGTGCCACTTCTGGCTTTTTCTGTTTATGTGGTGCTGATGGATCGAACCCAGAGCCTCACACATGCGAGGCAAGCGCTCTACCACTGAGCCACCTTCCCAGCCCATAAAAATTATTCTTTTTGGTGCTGCTGCAGGCTTCCTGCCATCATGGTTAACGTTCCTAAAACCCGCCATACTGTTTGTAAGAAGTGTGGGAAGCACCAACCTCACAGAGTAACACAGTGCAGAAGGGCAAGGATTCTCTGTACGCCCAGGGAAAGCGTTGTTATGACAGGAAGCAGAGTGGCTATGGCAGTCAGACTAAGCCAATTTTCCAGAGAAAAGCTAAGACTACAAAGAAGATTGTGCTGAGACTTGAATGTGTTGAGCCCAACTGTAGATCTAAGAGAATGCTAGCTATTAAGAGATGCAAATATTTCGAACTGGGTGGAGATAAAAAGGGAAAGGTACAAGTGATCCAGTTCTAAGCTCCAGCTTTTGTTATGAAGACAATGAAATTGTGAGGTCAAATTCAAAAAAAAATATTGTCTGGACATGGGGCTCACACCTGTAATCCCAGCTTCTTAGGAAGCAGTTATAAGGAGGATTGTGGTTCACAATTGTGTGGTTCAAGTCCAGCACAGGGGAAAAATAGTATGCCCCTATTCTCAATCAATAAGCCAAGTGTGATATAATTGCCTGCCATCCCAGGTAAGCAGGTCGTCACTGGTAGTATCCACATCCAAGGCAGGACTAGGCAAAAAGTAAGTCCCTATTTGCAAAATAATCCAAAGCACAGAGTCAAGTGGAAGAGTGCTTGCTTAGCAAGTACAAGACTCTGAGATTAAAACTTGTATCTAGAGGCTGGGAAGGTGGCTCAGTGGTAGAGCGCTTGCCTTGCATGCCTGAGGCCCTGGGTTTGATTCCTCAGCACCACATAAGCAAAAAGAAAAAAGCCGGAAGTGGCGCTGTGGCTCAAGTGGTAGAGCACTAGCTTTGAGCTGAAGAGCTGAGGGACAGTGCCCAGGCCCAGAGTTCAGGCCCCACGACTGGACCCCCCCAAAAAAACAACAACAACAAAAAACTCGTATCTAATTATTTAGGAACAACCCGAATAAGAAATACACAAGATTATTGTGAAGAAAACATCTAAACTTCAGATTCTATGAATTTTTTTAAAGAAATAAAGACATTTAAGATTTTCCTGTAGCCCGGCACCAGTGGCTCAGGCCTGTAATCCTAGCTACTCAGGAGGCTGAGACCTGAGGATCGAGGTTCAAAGCCAGACCAGCAGGAAAGTCCGTGAGACACTTATCTCCAATAAACCACTGGAAAACTGGAAGTAGTGCTGTGGCTAAAGCGGTAGAGGGCTTGCCTTGAGCTGAAGAGAGCCCAAGCCCAGAGTTCAAGCCCCATGAGTGACAAAAAAAAAAAAAAAAAGATATTCATGTAGCCAGGTGCTGGTGTCATCCTAGCTACTCAGGAGGCTGAGATCTGAGGATTGTGGTTCAAAGCCAGACAGGCAGGAAAATCCGTGAGACTCTTTTTTTAATTTTTATTTTTTGGTTCCGGTCACGGGGCCTGAACTCTGGGCCTGGGCACTGTCCCTCAGCTCTTCAGCTCAAGGCTAGCGCTCTACCACTTGAGACACAGCGCCACTTTCCGGCTTTTTTTTCTTTTTGCTTATGTGGTGCTGAGGAATCGAACCCAGGGCCTCATGCATGCAAGGCAAGCACTCTATCACTGAGCCACCTTCCCAGCCTGTCTGTGAGACTCTTATCTTCAATTAACCACCAGAAAACCAGAAATGGAGCTGTGGCTCAAGTGGTAGAGTGCTAGCCTTGGGCTGAAGAGCTGAGGGACAGCGCCCAGGCCCAGAATTCAAGCCCCATGACTGACAAAAAAAGAAAAAGAAAAAAAAGATATTCATGCATATACTTCATCATTAAATGGTCATTGCTGTTGCTTTGAAACTTATTTGTGAGAATCCCTAAAATTCTGAAATCAGCAAATGTGTGAATTCTAACTTTCAAATACTTTGTTACTACTCTTCACTTCGATTTTGACAGGAAGATGGGTAGCTTCCTTCATGTCCTGACCCAGACACAGTCTCTTAAAATGACAATGGATATTCAGTTAAATTTTCTATAGCATTTTGTTTTTGCTTCTAATTTCACAAGAAGACTGACTCATAGCTTTTTCAGGCATGTGCTGACTCCTTTGGCCTCTGGCTTCACAGTTAACTTTAACTGGAACACTTTTTTTTTTTTGGGTCCGGTCGTGGGGCCTTAACTCTGGGCCTGGGCGCTGTCCCTCAGCTCTTCAGCTCAAGGCTAGCGCTCTACCACTGAGCCACCTTCCCAGCCCAACTGGAACAGTTTCTATAGCTTTAGGATAGTTTCTACGGCACTAGAATTCTGTCTCAGCTGTTTCTAAATGGATGCTTTAAAAATATGCATGATGCTGGGCGCTGGTAGCTCACACCTATACTCCTAGCTGCTCAGGAGGCCAAGATCTGAGGATCCTGGTTCAAAGCCAGCCCAGGCAGTAAAGTCCATGAGTCTCTTATCTCCAATTAACCACCAGAAAACCAGAAGTGGCGCTTTGGCTCAAATGGTAAAGTGCTCGCCTTGAGCTGAAGAGCTGAGGAACAGCACCCAGGCCCAGAGTTCAAGCCTCATGACAGACAAAAAACAAAAAAGCACGACATGAGAAAATTCTAGTTTTACTATATTACTTTCTGCATTTTCAAATAACTATCTCCAATTTGTAAAAAGGATTAAAGATGTGCAAATTCCATGTTAATAACTTTAGTAGTTAAAACTTTAAAACGAAGCCAGCTCTGGTGCCCACACCTGTAATCCTAGCTACTCAGTAGGCTGAGACCTGAGGATCATAGTTCAAAGCCAGGCCAGGCAGAAAAATTCCCATGAAACTTTTATCTCCAATTAGCCACCAGAAAACCAGAAGTGGCACTGTGGCTCAAAGTGGTAGCGTGCTAGCCTTGAGTGAAAAAGCTCAGGGACAGAGCCCAGGCCCAAACCCCATGACAAGAAAACCCAAAAAACAAGACAAAACAAAACAAAACCCCCAAAAAACCCTTTAAACATTTTTTTTTCTTTTTCTCGTGCTGAGGATAGAACCCAGAGCTTTGCACACAGTGGGCAAGTCTCTCCAGCTGAGCTGTGTTTCCAACGCAGCCCTTCAATTACAACAAAGAGTGTTAGTTCCTAAACAAAGCCTGAATTTATAATGATTTCTAAGGGTTTTTTTGTTTTTGTTTTTGTCGGTCGTGGGGCTTGAACTCTGGGCCTGGGCGCTGTTCTTGTGCTCTTCAGCTCAAGGCGAGCGCTCTACCGCTTGAGCCACAGCACCACTTCCAGATTTCTAAGGGTTTTTATGGACAAATTTACAGCTGTAACTATAAATAAATTAGGACAAAGAATTCCTTATTGTAGAACACTTATGCTACTATCAATTTTATTAAAAAGAATAGATATATTAAAAACAAAGCATGGTTTTAATATTGCCCATTTGTACCTGTTTTCTTTCCCAATTAGTTTTAGTTCATCAAAATTATAAACATAAGGGTCTTCTATTGTTAAATTCAAGTACTGCTGATTAATAATTACCGTTCATTTTATTTCTGGTATATATTACTCCCAGATCTGCGGGAATGGAGTCAAAGCCAGTGCTTCCAATGATATAAACCCCTTTTTCTGCAGCTTTCTCATGATACTTCCAATACATTAGTTCCAGAAACTAAAAAATTCAGGACAAGAATCTGAATCAGTGTTTATTAAAAAACACCTACATCAATATTAAATGATTCATCTTTAAAAACAAAGCCATCAAACTGCAAGCACCAGGACCAGAGGTATGGCTCACTGTAGAGTCAAATTGAGGCCCTGAGTTCAATCACCCGCACTGCCAAACTGAAATCACTCACCAGTATGGCTCGGCGACAAAATATTAACTTGAAATGCTAGAACATTTTCTTGTATATTCCTTAAATACCGGCTGTACGTAGCTGTGTGCCAGGTGCTATGGGCCATATGCTCATCTAACTTAATGATTCTATTAATTTTTCAGAATAAAAATACCTTAAAGAAAGTGGTAAATATAGAAAAAACAGAAAAAAAAAGGAAAAAAAAAAAGAAAATCATCCCAGACTACATTAACCCACATGACACAGACAGGAGATGATAGAGGCAGGAATCATACCTGCTTAAATTCCTTTTCTGTTTCTAAGATGATTGCTTTTATTTTGCAGTGCTAGGGGCTGAAAGCCAGGGCCTCATGCTTGTTAGGAAAAGTGTTCTACCAGAGCTATACTACCAGATAAAAACTATTTTCTAGAACAGTTTTAGATATATAGAAAAACTGAATGGTAGAGTTACCATGTATCTGATATGCAGTTTTTCTATTGTTAGCATTGTTCACACATCACTAACAAAACCGTGTGTAGCTCAGGCTCTCTTACTTGCTAGCTAGTGTCCTTGCACTAATCCCAGATCCCAAACCAGAAGCCGTGTTAGGTTTAGTTGCCATGACTCCTCAGGCACTTGGCTCTGACAGATGCCTGCGCTTCCCTTAGTTTTGATGATCCTAATTGTTTGGAGGAACACTATTTTGTGGCACAGACATCTACTGGCACTTTTGTCATGTTGGGGTTATGGGTCTCGGGAAGACATCGGCAGGGTGAGGGTGAGATGCTGCTCTTAGCGCCTATCAAGGTTATACCCTATCAAAAGGACTTGTTGGCAACACTGACCTTGGACACCTAACTCTTTTAGTCTTTCTGGAGGCAGAGAGCTACCAAGCTATCTCTTGTCATCACTGTACTCATTTTTTAATTGGGCTGCATTTCTATTAATGACTTATTAAAAGTTCTTTATATTCTGGACCTTCATTGGGGCTTAGAGACGAATTATTTGATTTGGGTGTTTTTCTTGTAGGGCTAGAGAGACGGAAGCCAGGGCCTCATGTCTACCAGGCAAATGCTCTGCCACCGAGTTACAACCCAGACACAGTAGGTCTTGATATTACTATTATGCTTGCTTATTAAGATAACTTAGAAGCTTTTCACCATTTTCTATGGTCTGGGTTATTCTAAGTAACACAGACAATTGTGTTTAAGTCATGTTTTTCCCCTCTTCTTGAACTAGTTTTGGAAATTGACACTTTTCTGATATATCTCAACATACATCAACACCTGATAATCTCTGCATGTATATTGCATTGAAGTATTGATAACAATACTCAGTAGAGGCTATAAGCATCCAGACATTTTAAAGGGATGGTATAGTTTAGTGTTCGCTAACACACGTTCATCTGTGTACTAGGTATGTGACGCTGAGCAAGCTTTAATTTCCTCATCTATGAAATAGAGAAGGCAGGTAGGTGAGGGGAACTACTTCCCGGGGAGGATTGAAAATGTTAGGTAGTTAACTGTTTAGTGTCGTGTAGTACATTTGGCAGGCATTTTCCAATATGAGCACTTTATTACTTCATTTATAATATTTTATTTTATTGGTGCTGGGGATTGAACTCAAGGCTGTGTGCATTCTAAGCACATACTCTACCATTGAGCTATACCCCCAGCTCTTCACTGAGATGTTTTAGGCTTAGCAGGGCACAGGTGGCTCATGCCTGTAATCCTAGCTACTCTGGAGGCTGAGAATCACAATTCAAAGCCAGCCTAGGGAGGAAAATCTGCAATACTCTTATCTCCCACTAACTATCCAAAGAAAAAACAAAAACAAAAAACAAAACTGGAAGTGGAACTTCAGGTGGTAGAGCACTAATCTTGAGCAAAACAGCCCAGAGATGGCGCTGAGGCCTTGGGCTCAGGCCCCAAGCCCCAGGACTGACACACATACACACACACAAATTTTTAGGTTCAGGTGATTTCACATTTATTTTTTTTCTATGAGCTATAAAGACTACTGATCTTAAAAAGGAAATTCATAATGAAAAAGTTTAAAATAATTCTGAAAATGACCCACAGCATACTAATTCAGCTCATAGCATTCAGCAACTATCAAACTCCACAAACTCCTCAAATGCTAGAAAGGAATCTTCAACCTGTGCCTAAATATTGCACTAAAAATGTCCATCCCATTAGGCAGAAACCTGCCTAATGTGACTGTCTTCTGCTTCACATACCTGAGGTTCCCCGGAGATGTCGATGCAGCTGGTTCTATTTTCAATACATGCTTTTACTACAGGTTCGCCAAAAAATCGATACTAGGGAAATAGAGAAAACCAGCAGGTTACTCTTTCTCTTTAAGCTTACGTGAATCATCACTTAATCTTGGAAGTATACTCTGGTTATCAAGAAACAATGTTAATAAAGTAGCCTAACAATAAGCTGAGGATGTGACAGACCTGCACTATGCCTCCTCCTCACTGTAAATGAGTAAGCACAAGTGAATTTCAGAGGAATGCACACCCACAGTTAATGGAAAACAAAATAGGAAGTTTATACAAGTAATTCACTTGGGATGAATTTTCAAAAATAAAGATTTTCCAGGAAAAAAAGGGAAAATACAAATAAAGGCAACAGTGTACAACAAGACATAGGAAAACACAAGGTGGCTGAGCAGAAATTAGCAAGAGATAGGTCTAGAAGAAAATACAGAGGCCAGGCCATAAAGGACCAGAAGTGCTATGATGCCGAGTCTAAATGTTACATGTTTCAGGAGGTTGCTGGGACTTGGTTTTAATGATCAAGAAACTGCCTTGAAGCCAGGTGCCAGGGGCTCATGCCTGTAATCCTAGCTACTCAGGAGGCTAAGATCTGAGGAGTGTGGTTCAAAGCCAGCCCTGGCAGGAAAGTCCGTGAGACTCTTTTTTTTTGGGGGGGGGGAAGGGGGTCCGGTCATGGGGCCTGAACTCTGGGCCTGGGCGCTGTCCCTCAGCTCTTCAGCTCAAGGCTATGACTCTACCACTTGAGCCACAGCGCCACTTCCGGCTTTTTTCTTTTTGCTTATGTGGAGCTGAGGAATCGAACCCAGGGCCTCATGCATGCAAGGCAAGCACTCTACCACTGAGCCACCTTCCCAGCCCCAGTCCATGAGACTCTAATCTCCAATAAACCACCAGAAAACCAGAAGTGGCACTGTGGCTCAAGTGGTAGAGCACTTGCCTTGAGCTGAAGAGCTGAGGGAGAGCACCCAGGATCAGAGTTCAAGCCCTCTGACCAACAACAACAACAACAACAATAAAAACTAGACAGGGGGCTGGGAAGGTGGCTCAGTGGTAGAGTGCTAGCCTTGAGCTGAAGAGCTGAGGGACAGCACCCAGGCCTCGAGTTCAGGCCCCCCACGACCGGACCCCCCCAAAATGATAAAAAACAACAACAACAAAAAACCCCAAAAAAGTAGATATTTGTAAAGTGAGGTGGAAAGACTGTGTGAGAGGGTGAGAGTTTAATATTAATACAGTGTTTTTTGAAGCAATGCAAGCCATAGAACGGTGAAATTGTACATTTCTCATCTTGATATGTCATGCATATTGACATGATCAAATAAAAACTGGTACCTAGGTATACATTTTTTTTGAGAGGCTTGAACTTTACTAGATTACTAGGGATAGGACATTTTAAACCTGACAGAGTATAGGATTTAGACCAGAGATATATCATTCTGCCTACAGAATTAGGAGACAAAACTGGAGGCACAGGTGAGAACGTGCTAAGGATACACTAAGAAGGCTCATTTGTAACCCTAGCTACTTGGGATGGGAGAATGGCAACTCGCCACCAGCCTGGGACTGCTGGGCCTGGTGGCAGGCACCTATCATCCTATCTAAAATGGGAAGGGCCATGGTGCCAGGCCAGCCATTCAGAAAAATCACATGACTCCATCTCAGTGGAAGAAGCTGGATGTGGTAGTGTGTGTCTGCCACCCTAGCTATGGCAGGAAGCAAAAAAATAGGAGGATTGTGGTCTAGGAACATACCTGGGCAGAAGCAAGACCGGATCTCAAAAATAACAATTACAAACAAGGGTTAGAAGGGGCTGGGAAGGTGGCTCAGTGGTAGAGTGTTTTCCTAGCATGCATGAAGCCCTGGGTTCGATTACTCAGTACTACATAAACAGAAAAAGCCATAAGTGGTACAGTGGCTCAAGTGGTAGACTGCTAGCCTTCAGCAAAAGAAGCTCAAGGACAGTGCCCAGGCCCTGAGTTCAAAGCTGCAGGACTGGCAAAAAAAAAAAAAAAGTGTAGGAAGTATAGTTCAGTGGTTCATCATCTGCCCAACAAGTACAAAATCTTAAGTTCAAATACTAGTATCTCCAAACAACAATAAAAACAAAGGCAAAAATGATCTGGTATGAAGGCACCTACCTGTAATCCCAGCTTCTCAGGAGGTAGAAATAGGATCACAATTCAAATTCAAAGATAGTTTGGGCAAAAAGTGAGATGAACACTCCCCTTACCTCAACCAACAAGCCAGGTGCAGTGCTTTACATTAGTAATCTCAGCTGTGGAGAGGTAGGAAGATCAAAGTCTAAGGTTGACCACATGCAAAAATATGAGATCTATCTCAAAAAGAAGCTATGACTACAAGGGCTTGGGCATGGCTCAAATGGTAGAATACTTGTCTAGTAAACACAAGGCCTAGAAGTACTCCCAAATGGCAGTACTGCCAAAAAAGATAAAAAGCAAAACTTATTACATTTTCTGCTTACCAGGGCTGGGCATGGAGACTAAAAGGTAGTGGTATTGTTAACAAAATTTCAAGAGAAGATTTGAAGAGGTTAAGTTTAATTTTGGACAGAATAGATATTCTAAACTTGTATATTAGATCTCCCAAATAATTTGTTGCTCAGACTAAATTACTATCTAGAAGGTAATAAATTGCACAAGCAACATGTCCAACCTTGGTGAAAGTCAAGGTAAAAAGCCTTCCATTACTGAGCTGCTGTTCACACCCAACTGTTGGCTCTCACCCGCTAGGATACACTCCTCCTACCCCACACCTACCTGGCTAACTCCCATTCCTCCAGGCTCAGCCAGTGATTCCCAACCCTTCCATCAGTTTGTCTACTAATACCAACAACTACAGGAAAGCTTTCAAGGGCCTTGCAACATAATAGTGGCTCCTTAAGGAGACAGCAAGCAAGTTCCTGCTTGCCACAGTCCTGCCATCCGTTACAATGTACTGTTATACTCTGTCCACTCCATACTGTGTCAGCTGAGGTTAAGACTCCTACGAACTTATTCCTACTTTACTATCCAGTTACTTTTGTCTTCACTCGGTATGCTGGGGGTGTATGTGATAAGTGGAGAGAGTCAGAGTACATTTCTGTCCTGAGAAGTCATTTAGCTTAGAGCTCAGAACTGCAATCACAAGAACTGAACACATGGCTGACCAAGGGACAGAGCATCAGTCTTCAGCAAGAAAGCCAAGCAATGAGTTCAAGCTCCAGTACCGCGCGCACACACACACACACGCACGCACACACACACAAGCGCACACATTCGGATCCCAATGCTCCATGTTCTAACCCTGTGGCTCTCAGGTAGGTGTGCCTCCCCTGATGGAATATAACATTAACCACTGAAGGTGGCAGTTTGTGAGTGTTTTTATCTACGCTAATCTTTATAAGAAGCATGTTTTTTCCAGTTAATAGATGGACTGGCTAAAGCACATCGCTGGGCAATGTCAGATGGTCAAGCATTGAGCAGAGGATATGGTGAGGGGGTGAAGGAAAGTTCCACAGCACAGGAGTGGCCACAGAGACAGTCTCAGTCTTTGTCACATTCAGAATGGTGCTACCTAACGCTTATTTACACTTGCCTAACAGGAGTTACCAAGGCCTTGGGTATTTATTGGAGAAGGATAAAAAGATCCAGTAGAGACCCCTTGAGCCTATAATCACAGCTTCAGGCTAGGGTCTGAGAGCTGTAAGATTTTGAGGTTTAGGGCCAGCCCAAGTTAGAAAAGTTCATAAGACTCAAATTTCCAAAATAACTAGCTTCCAGGCCTACCTGGAAGCATGGCTAAAGTAGTAGAGCTCTAAGGAGAGCCCCAGATCAACTTCCAGTACTGCCTGCCCACTCCCCTCAAGAAAAGACCCAATGGGTCAGATGAAGCAGGTAAACAGAAGGAGACTAGAAGAAGAGACCAGAAACAAGAAAAGAGCAAGTGACTGGATGGATACTGATAGGTTCAAAAGAGATTGGGTCTGACACATGGGACCTGGAAGAGTATTTGTGAAGAGTTAGTTCAAATAACCAGTGTTAGGGTTTTCCGGAGTACTAAGGTCAGCAAACAAAGCACCAACCATTCATGACTGAAGACGTATGTTACAGTGACTATAGCACAGACCCAATGGATGGAATCTAAGTTGAGAATGAGGTAACTCTCATTAAACATTTTAAATGTTTATTGAATAATACAAAAAAATCTTTTCAGTTTTAGAAGTATTAACATTTCAGATGCTTAGTTTTCAAACATCTTGCCAACTGTGTTGGTTTCTTCTCATCAGTAAACAGATATCACCCTGTTACAGTCCACAAGCCCAGTGCGAGTCATTCCTGGTGTATCTTTCATATCTGGTACCAGAGCAAAAACTCATCTTTCAAAAAAAATACACTTTAAACACAACCACTTCTCTCGTTTTCCCCCTGGAGTGGCAAGAACAACATCTTGCTACATCTCAAGCTAGTCACTCCTCTGAGACATGCCTGCCTCAGCCTCCTCCAGTGCTGAGATCGGGGTGCACCTGCTCACCCAGCTCACCCTCTGCATCTTGCCACTTCTTCTGCTACTATCCTGGCGCTCTATTTGCCTGGAATATGCCACCACTAGCCTTATTATCTATTTTAGTTCTTAGTAGCCAAAGAACTTTAAAAAAATTCTATCAGATCACGCCCTTGCTTTCAACTACTCAATGATCCTTGGTCACATGTAAAAGAAAATCCCAACCCTGACTGTAACCTAAAAGACCCTACGCAGCTACCTCCTGGACACCTTGTATCCACCTTCCAGCTCTCTGCCTTATTTCTAGGCCCTCCACATCCCTTGCTTTCATCCCTGTCTTGCCAAGTACATCTTCCTCCTGGGACCTTCATGCTTACTCCCCAGGCACAGGCATCACACCTCAGGCAATCATGGCGTACCCTCACTCCATTCCCATCTCTGCTCAAGTACTGACTCCTGAGACTTTCTTGACTTCCAGCAGAGAGACTTACGGGCCCATCTGTCTCTCCTTGCTTTGTCTCACTTTTCCTCAAAGCACTTATCACCTGATAGTATTACAATCTTATTTTTCTGTCTGCCTCCAAAGAATATAAATCCCAAAAGATTTCCTGTTTTGCTCACCACAGTGCACATTTGCCTAGCATAGGTGCATTTCACACAGAGTAAGCATTCAGTAAGTATTTACTGAATATACAAAGAATCCTTTTTTCAAGTTTCTACCTTTGGTATGTTATTTACATTTGTGTGTGTGTATGTATGTGTGTGTAAGTCTTGGGGCTTGACTCAGAGTCTAGGTATTGTCCCTGAGCTTTTTTTGTGCTCAAGGCTAGTGCCCTACCACTCTGGGCTTTCTTGTGATAAATTAGAGATAAGAGTCTCACAGACTTTACTGCGTGGGCTGCTTTGAACCATGATTCTCAGATCTTAGTCTCCTGAGTAGCTACAATAAGATTATAGGTTGAGCTGTTATTTACATTTGTATAATACAAGAATATAAGATGGGGGCTGGGAAGGTGGCTCAGTGGTAGAGCGCTTGCCTTGCATGCATGAAGCCCCAGGTTAATTCCTCAGCACCACATTAGCAAAAAGAAAAAAAGCTGGAAGTGGCGCTGTGGCTCAAGTGGTAGAGCGCTAGCCTTGAGCTGAAGAGCTGAGGGACAGCGCCCAGGCCCAGAGTTTAGGCCCCATGACCCGACCCAAGAAAAAAAAAAAAAGAATATAAGATGGGTGTGGGTGGTTCTTGCCTGTAATCCTGGCTACTCAGGAGGCTGAGATCTGAGGGTTGTGAGTCAAAGATGGCCCAGGCAGAAAAGTCCCTGTGGGACTCTTATCTCCAATTAACCATTCAAAAATTGGAAGTGGTGGGTCTAGGCATGTGGCTTAGTGGTAGAGAAGCCCTTGGTTCAATTCCTTAGTACCACATACACAGAAAAAGGCAGAAGTGGCGCTGTGGTTCAAGTGGTAGAGTGCTAGCCTTGAGCAGCGAGAAGCTCAGGGCCAGTGCCCAGGCCCTGAGTTCAAACCCCACAACCAAAAAAAAAAAAAAAATCGTCATAGCTCTTGATTCCCTAAATAGTGCCACAAGAGCTTGCCAAGCCTCTCTCGGGAAGAACTGTCCATATGGGATCAACCAGTCTTCTGCCCGCTGCTCTATGCTCCTCTGGGGGATAAAATGTCAGTTTCTGCTCGAAGTGGATTGCGTGTTCTGATACAAAGAAGGGTCGGTTACTTACAGGTCCTACGCAGTTGAGGACAAGTGTTGTCTGTTTAGCCATTTCATCAAGTGAGGCTGAATTATTGATGTCACAAACTATTATTCCAACTTCAGATGGTAGTGTCGGTCTTCCTAAGATAAAATACAAGTCACTTAAAGCAAACCTGAGTACAATATTACATTTTCCAGATCTTTTCATAGCAATCAGTAATATCAAAATTACTCTCAATCAGCAAATATAAAAAGGTATGGCTATGAGGAAAGTGGAGTTGATACTAGGGGTTCTAAATATTAAAAAAGCAACATAGAAATAGCCCTGCAATATGATAATCTTACAATCTAATTTAGACACCAAGTAAGTGTTTTGTTCTTACGTCCTGTCCACTAAGAAATTTCTATTATAAAAGCAGTTTCTCACCAGCTAGTGAACAATTACAAATTGGGTGGGGTGGGGTGTGTGTGTGTGTGTGAAAGGAAATTGTTAAAACTTCCATAAGAACACAAGAAGACTCTGAAGTGAATCCACTTTCAAGTAGTAAACTCTATATAAAATCACTCAGGTACACAAGGAAATAACTAGAACCGACCCACCACAGCAATGCAGGTTCTACATGTGAAGGTAGATGTTGCCCCATTACTAGTTTGAGGGCATATAAATGGCAGATAGCTGGGCCATACCTGTATGGACCAGTTGAGCAGGAAAAAGAAATGGAAACACGTATTTTACCAATAATGTCTTTTACAAAAATAAAAGTAACAAAGCTCAAGGTTCTATGTACTGGCAGAGGTAGCAATAAGAGTTGTAGGAAAGTCTAGCCTGCCTGCTCTCTTTATACTAACACAAACCAAAGACTCCACAGTTCCTCTCTAAGCAGGGACTTCTGTAGTACTTAAGATTAAGCAGGAGTGTAGAATGTCCAAGACTCTAACAGGGTGATTTGTAAGTTCAATGTCCAAGCCAGACATATAGGCAAAAAAAAAAAAAATCTACAAGCAAAAACTAAAAAACAACAACAACAAAAAAAACACAAGAGGAATGGAATTGTGGCTAGTTGTGTGTTTAACATACAGAGACCCAGCTGGGCACCTGTGGCTCACACCTGTAATCCTAGCTACTCATAGGAGGTTGAGATCTGAGGACTGGAGTCAAAGCTGGCCCAGGCAGGAAAGTTCATGAGACTCTTTATTTCCAAGTAAGCACACACAAAAAAGCTGGAAGCGGAGATGTGGCTCAAGAGTGCTAGCATTGAGCAAAATTGCTCTGGGACAGTGCCCAGGCCCTGAGTTCAAGGCCCAGTACTTGTACAAAACAAAACAAAACCATATGGAGTTCAACCCCCAGCATTAAAATAAAAATCAAGCTCTAGGGCTTCCTCTCTTCCTCAAATGCAAGGCAAGGCACCAAAGCACATGGGCAGGCCACATGGTCCCTGGAGACTAGGGTGCAGGCAGAAGGAATCACCAAGTGTTGGACTATTTCATAGAAGATTCTGCATTCTGAAGATGAAGGCATTTTAAAATGTTTTCTTTCTGGAATTTTGAGGTGGAACAAAGCCTGATGTGTGAGCACCACACACTCTGGGGTACAGGGACATGAACTGGAGGGCTTGGGGGGCGGAGATCTGAAGGAGTCTGGCTGTAGTGGGGGCAGGAAGGTGAGGACTGCTGGGGGGCAGGGTGTAGGCTGGCAGAGAGCTGGGGCACAGAGACTGGAGGGCTAGGGGGGAAAGCCAAGGCTGGGGGACAGAGGTACAGGAAGGGGAGACCAGGCTGAGGGGCACAGGTCCTGGGTTAACAGGTCTGGAGGTGGCTGGGCTCCTAGGGCAGGGGACAGGCCTGGGGCACGGTGCGGGGCCGGGGTAGCAGGGCTGGGTGGGGACAGGTCTGGGGCATAGTGGGGGGGTGTCAGGTCTGGGGCCCAGGGCTGGGGTGGTGGGGTGCCAAGGCTGGGGTGCAGGGCCGAGGGGGGGGTCAGGGGGGAAATCAGGTCTGAGGCCGGAGCGGGGGTCAGGCCTGAGTAACAGGGCCGGGGTGGCGGGGTGGGGGTGAGGTCGAGGTCAGGTCTGAGGCGCAGGGGGGGTGAGGGCTCGACAGGTCAGGCCTGGGGCACAGTGCTGGGGTGGCAGGGTGGGGGTGAGGTCGAGGTCAGGCCTGGGGCGCAGGGCC